TTACAAAACCCCCCCCCCCCCCAGTTCAGTGGTAGTACTTGAAAACACTCCATACCACAGTGTACAAGCAGATAAAGCTCCATCAAAATATTCTTTTAAATCTGAAATGATCTCATGGTTACAGCGGCACGGAGTTTTCTGTGACAAAGCTATGTGAAAAGGCCAACTGTATGACCTAATACTTACAAAGAAACCAAAAGAAATATTTTCAAAATTGATCAGTTACTAAACGCCCATGGTCACATTGTAGTTAGGTTGCTTCTAAATATGTGTGACCTTAGCCCAATCGAACCAGCATGGTCTAAGGTAAGAAACTACGTCCGCGAGAACAACGTGACAGGGGATCTGTCTTTGAAGCGACTGCTGGATCTAACAACAGAAGTGACTGCAAAGGATTGGGAAGGATACTGCCAACATGTGGAACAACAATACTGGGAACGGGACGGGGTTGTTGCTGACGTGATCGACTCAATGATTATTGTCAATCCAAATGACAGTAGCGATGACGAAGAGACTTCTTGTGAAGATGTTGAGTCTGAAGAAGCAACTGACTTTTCTTACTCCGAGCTCGAGCGGCCACTGTGAGGTAATTTTAAAGCTATACTCATTAGAACTTAATAAAGCCTTTTGTCTGTTGTTCCTTCACTGGTTGTGGAACGAATGGTTTTGCGTTGGCTAGTATCAGCTCGTCACTTACCGCGAAATCTTGCACATGCGCGCATATCGCATTCCTATCAGGACATTTCTCCTGATCTATTGAATGTACCTGGTGATACAGACAAAGGATCGTGCCGAGACCGAGACTGGAAGTGACCGCTTCTGTCAGAGAGTGTGCGGCAGGGACCGGGTCATGCAGAGAACGGTTCTGGCAGTGATCGCGTGGGGAGAATTTTGAAGAAAAAAAATCATATTTTTCAAAATTTTCGAAAAATCGAAAAAAGGTGGAAATTGTCTGAAAAGCGCACAAAAAATATTTTTGAAAATATTGAAAAAATTGAATGTGAAATTTTTCAATTTTTTTGGGTTTGTGCGCTTTTTCGACAGTTTCCAGCGTTTCTTGATTTTTTGAAAATTATTAAAATTCCCCCACCAGATGCCTTGCAGAACCGGTCTGTGTCTGACTTATGAATTTGGATTTTTTTTCTTCTAAAAACTGCCCAAGAGATGCTTGCCAAACTCGGTCAATGCTTCTCTCTGTCTTTGCCGGACTCGGCTGCTATCTCACACGGTTGCTGCCTGCCTCGTTGTCTGCACCAACCAGCCTCTGCAGGACTCGGCATCTGCTGGGCAATCTCTCCCTTACGTGTTGTCTGCCGCACCAGAGCTTTCTAGAGACGGCACGTCAGAGCCGTGTCATGCACAGACCAAGTCGTCAGAGACGCAGTACATCAGGAATAGTCCGACAAAGACCAGTTCTGCAAGGCATTAGGTGGGGGAATTTTGAAAATTTATAAAATTTTCAAAAAATCAAAAAATGCTGGAAACTGCACAAAAATTTCACATTCAAAATTATTTTAAAATTTTTTTGGTTTTGTGCGCTTTTCAGACAATTTCCAGCGTTTTTCGATTTCTCAAATATTTTAGATATTTTCCATTTTTCTTCAAAGGTCTCCTCAAGAGATGCATGCCAGTCTTGGTGAATGCCACATCCTGTCAATGCCGGACTCGGCCTCTCTCACCCAGCTGCTGCCTACCTCGGTGTTTGCACCAACCGGCCTCTGCAGATCCGTGTCTGCCTCACATGTTGTCTGAGGCACCTGGGCTACTCAGACACAGCACGTCAGAGCCGAGTCATACCCTGCCTCCGTGTCTGTAGCAACCGGCCTCTGCAGGTCTCGGTCTCAGCTGGTGAGGTTCTCGGCCTTACGTGTTGCCTGCAGCACCTGAGCTTCTACGAGACGGGACGTCTGAGCCGTCACACAGCGACCGTTCCCAACAGAGCCCGAGTCAGGCACAGACCTCATTCGTCTGAGAGAGTACATCAGAAACAGTCCGAGAGAGACCGGTTCTGTAATGCTTGAGGTGGTGGAATTTTGAAAATTTTGAAAATTTTCAAAAAACCAAAAAATGCTGGAAATTGTCCAAAATGCGCACAATACCCAAAATTTTTGAAAAATTTCACCTTCAAAATTTTTTCGTAAATCTTCAAAAAAATTTGGTTTTGTGCGCTTTTCAGACAATTTCCAGCGTTTTTCGATTTCTCAAATATTTTAGATATTTTCCATTTTTCTTCAAAGGTCTCCTCAAGAGATGCATGCCAGTCTTGGTGAATGCCACATCCTGTCAATGCCGGACTCGGCCTCTCTCACCCAGCTGCTGCCTACCTCGGTGTTTGCACCAACCGGCCTCTGCAGATCCGTGTCTGCCTCACATGTTGTCTGAGGCACCTGGGCTACTCAGACACAGCACGTCAGAGCCGAGTCATACAGAGACCCGATCAAGCAGTGACTGCATTCGTCAGAGACACAGTACATCA